AAACTTCTGTCTACATACATTTTTCTGTGTTAGCAGAGGCTGACTGCCTCGATCCTCCCTCATGTAGGTGGTATGCCCCCTGCAGGGTAAAGGTGGAGTTGCAGGCAGTTGTAAGGCACTCTGTGGGAATGCTGGGAACCCAGCTGTGGTCCTCTAGAAGAGCAATGTTTGCTCTTGAGTACTGAGCTGTCTCTCCCACCCCTGGAGCAAGCGAGCAAGCTGGGGTTTTTTTTTTAAGCCAATTGTTATTCACTTTAAAAAAAAAATCAAACCAGAATAAAATTAATCCCAAAGCAAAATTTTATGTTCAGCCCTCAATTTAGCATTCCCTGACTTCCACACCACCCCAATCCTATCATCAAACATAACCCTAAGTCGTTTTATATGAGCGATAAAGACCAGCAAAAGGGAATCAACTTTACAAGTCCCTAATTCAACAAAGAATACTGATTTGATATTGCATTTCCCCCCTTGACAGATCTCAAGCTCTCTTGAGGCCTTTTAATCACCAATAATGTGCCCTCTACATTTCAGACTTCCCAGATTAGAGAAATCTGAATGAACCAAATTTCTCTTACAGCAGAACACTTTACATATTTTTTTAATTAAAGTATGCTTTTTAAAATGTGGGCTTTTAAGACATGGACTTGCTGGTAAGGTCAGGATGTACTCTGCCCTAACTCACTCCATGTTGTTTAAAACTACTTTTTCCAGGCCAGTGCCTCATCCTGAACTCCGTTTATGAGCAGCTTTGGCTCCATTAGAGAAGGATGATTCTGACCCCTTTGTTGTGCCCATAAATGCCACCATTTGGCCAGCACAGACTGATAACTTATTTCTAAAGGTGGAAAGGTGCCACCCTATACATTTATCAAAGCACGCTGGGGTCACATTAGCATATTAAAATCATATTAGGAAACTTAGACCAAGAACTTACCAAGCACATTGAGCAGAGCAGAGACAAGGGTGCAATCCTCCCCTGGGCCCAGAGAAGAAGAGCTCACCCAATATTTCAACATCAATGGCCCTGCCAAGCTGTCATCTCTGTTGTCCCAGAGGCTTCAGCTTGGGTCTGTCCTCGCAGCTGACTTAGGCCCTACTCAGATTGCTGTCTCTCCACCCTTTTGTCTGCCCGTCCATCCTCCCGTCCCTTTGGAGCTGGCTCTGCTCTTCATCTCTAAGTCCTTCCCTCGTTTCTGTAGCTCCACTCTAGCAGACGGGTCATTACCTAGGGTCCTTATTAGCCGCTGCTCACCTACAGTGAGACGCCTTTGAAGGTCTGTGCACTGGGCTACAGCTGCCTGAACCCCTGTGGGTGCGCTGTAGTCTACATACAAATGCACAGAGACAGCAGTCCTGTGTAGGAGTGTCGGCTGCTGGCTCTTACTGTGACACTCTCCCCCCCCCCCTGCCAAGGATCTAAGAAAGGGTTCTCCTCTGCCACATGGGCTCTGACTCTTTTCAGAGGCCCTGCCATTCTGTCTCTCTCTGAACCTCCTTGGTGCCCTTCTGTTGGCCCATGGCATTAATATCTCCTCCAGTAAACCCTTCAAGTAATCTGTCAGTGTTTTCTCAAACTACCCACGTCATCCAACACCTAATAGACAGACAGACAGACTGACTGACTGATTTACTGTGTGCTGTGTAATTTGTGATCTGAGGATTAATTAAGCCAGTAATTAAGATCCAAATGAAAGAATCTGTGTCTGCCTCAACCAGCGATCAAGAAATCAGAACTAATGGAGAATTGCAGCCAATGAAAATGGCACTGGTTGTGAATTTATCATTATTTAGCAAATTCTGACAGTATGGAAAGACACAAATGTGCCCATCACTATTTCTAATGGCACACTAATGACACTCGCCTAATTACCTCTGTGATAAAACCGACATGTCCAATCAGCCTCGTGGCTAATTGCACCAGACTGATCCCTAGTCCAGTCTCTGCCTCCACAGGTCCGTTTGTGTCCAGTTTGGAACTTCACCGTCACACATTAACCTTGTATCCTCTTCTCTGTTTCATTGTCTCAGCTCCCAGACTGCAGAGGGTACCACTGTATAAACTCCTAGACTACATTCACCCCTCCCCCTGTTGACAAAGAGCTGTTTCCAGCCAGGGGCTACCAGGAAGGCATTTAAGTAGCGCTTTTGACACACGCATATGCCTCTCTGCTACTCTAAGAATGGGACAGCAGCCATAGGAGCTGTGTGCATAAATGCATGCAAATGGTGTCTCAGTTTCTCGGGGCTGCTCAGCTCTTCTGTTTTCCCGTCTTTTCACTTGAAAACCTGGGAAACCTCATCTGAATTTCCCACTGCATTGGCATGATAAGGTTTCAGCAGAGCATCCTCGGGTCGTCTCAGGGCATGGGCTAAGCTGCAGTAACCCTTTTCCTTCCCTGACACTAGCGTTGAGGTTGGATGAGAAATGTCCCCCACAGGCTCATTGTTTGAACACAAGGTGCCCGATTGGAGGTCAGAGAACCTTCAGGAAATGGAGCCTGCAGCAAGCCCTCATTGCCAGGATGGACCATGAGCCAAAACTACTCTCTCCTGTCTAAGTGGTTTCTGACATGTATTTTGGTCACAGTGACAAAAAGAAAAGAAACCCTGATACACACACACTTGCTCACCATCACTGAAAGGAGAGAGGCTGCGGTACGCCATAGACACATCCACGACACATCCACTCTGAGTGGGATATTCTGCAAGTGCCACTCACAGAGGGAGCACGGGGCGGATGGGGTGCAGGGGAGAAGGGGGTGTAGGGGGAAGGGGTGTGGAGGGATGGAGGGGATGGAGAGGTGAGAGTGAACAATCCAGCAGTTTTCTGCTAGGAAGCTCTTCCCACCAGAATGACTGTGACCTTGAGCACAGGAGACTCTTAAGACTAACAGAGGTCAGAAGACACTGAGTGGCCAAAACTGCTTTAGCCACAGGGGTCCACATCTACCTCCCTGAGCTTGGCAGCTGCTGTTAGAGGATTCCAAGTTCCAAGCCAGCCTGTGCTACACAGTGAGACACTGATGCAAACCAACAAGCAAACCCATTAATCAATCTAATAACCACAAGAACAAACAATTTAGAAGGAAAACCACCTCTTAGCAAACTGTCACCCGAGGTCACCTGAGGTCACAGCCCTCTGCTCCAGGGGTTGCACTGGGAGAGCCCAGGGGGCTGTGGACTCACACATACATTTATTTCTATTTTCATTTGTCACTACATGAAAAAAAATCAGTCTTTCATTTGACTGTTGTTTTGTTTGGTTCCAGACAGTTTCTCTGGGTAGCCCAGGCTGTTCTGGAACTCACCAGGCTTGACCTTGAACTCAGAGACCCACCTGTACTGCCTCCTGAGTGCTGGGAAGCGAGGGCTATACACTTGCCACGTGTCTGATGAAGCTTGTCCAGAGACTCAACACACACAGTCATTCCACCGCTGCCCTAAGTCCACGGAGCATGGGGGGGTTCACCCTCAAAGGGAGGGGTTAACTGCTTCAGACCACATTGTTATTTCGTCATTTAAGGCCACTAATAAAGAATATTGTATAAATTTGAGTTTTAATAGCATTTTGATGATTGTTTCAATATTATAAGCCCTGTGTTTTTATGTCTTTTACTTATTTTTATGTGTTCTGATTTGTTTCTTAAGACAGGATCTAGTGTAGCCATGGCTGGCCTTGACCTCTCGATCCCCCTGGCCTCATACAGCACCATCCAGCGGTCTCTTCACACTTTTAAACAGTCTCCAAGAAGGTTCATGGCAAGGACCAAGGATTGTATTCCCCCAGTCTGGGCTACAATAACTGATACCCGTTGCATGGACATCCTGGCAACAGTCAACCAGGGCTCTGACCTCCCCCTGGGCTGGCCCAAACCCCAGTCCTAGCACAGGCTAGTCAGCGGGGTGGGCAGCCTTGAACCCTCTCCTCTGAGGAGGAGAAAAACAGACTGTCTCTACAGGCAGCTGCCAGACCCACACGTTCACTTAAATTATTTACTGCGCCTCTCAGGTCAGAACTGTCTTTAGCCAACACTTAATGGATTCATCATATGGAGAGGGAAGGTGGAACATGAAGAACAGAAACGGGAAGAGAACGGGATTCTTGGGCCAAAGTAAGAGACCCCACCCCTTTAATGTATCCCACAGCACTGAAGCTGTGCTTCGCTCTAAGAACGAAGATGCCACACTGCAAGGGGCAGGCACGCAGCAGTCTCCCCCCCCCCCACGTGGAAGGCTGGTTCAAAAGCGGCCTCCCTCCCTCAACAGCTGTGTGCACCTGGATCCTGGAAGGTGTCTCCCAGTCTTGCCACTAAACAGATGAGGGAAACTGAGTCCAGTGAGTAGAAAGTGAAAGAAATCTCTAAATTAGGAACGAGGCTCATTGGTTAAACACAGGCTTGAGGACCCAAATTCAGATCCTGTATGCACAGAAAATGCCCCGGGGACTGTAATCCCTGCCTTCTCCAGGGGCCCAGCCTGGGTTTGATTGAGAGACCCTGCCTCACTTTACGTTTGGGTCCCCTGCGCACAAGGACGCACATGCACACCACACACGTGAAAATAGAAATCTCTGTGCTGAGCCGGGCCGGGCCGCAACGGCCACACCGGCGCCCTCTCCTGCACAGAGCGGCTGGGTTTGCGGTTCCCGAACTCCGCGCCTTTGTGTCGCCGCCCTAGGGCGCGAGGACACGGGAAGCGGAAGCGCCGCTGTTTTCTCCCCCACGTCAGCGGCGAGTCTCCCACGACCTGCTGCGGCACCCCGGCCAGCCCTCTGCCTCCGCGCCGGTGAAGTAGTGGCGGCCTCTGCAACCGCAGATCTCCGGCGCCCCCTCCAGCTCCACGCGAGCCCTCCCGCCTGCTCTACGCGCGAGCCCGCCGACACCTCCCCCACACGCGCGCCCTCGCGCCCCCTCCCCGCTCTACACGCGCGCCCTCCGATTCCCCACGAGCGCCCGGCCACACCGCCTGCCCGGCCTGTCTAGCGCTGGCGAAGTCACCTGAGTCTCAGCAGGCAGAGCTGGGCGCCCAGGGAAGTAGGCGTCCCCAGCCCCCGCCGTGCGGAGCCGCGGCCGGGGAAGGACTCGCGAGCGCTGCGCGGGTCGGAGGCCAGGCCGCGGGGGGTGAGCGGCTGGCTCTGGGACGCCGCGCCCGGGTTCTCGGACACCGGATTGGCCGGCGCTCTGCACATTTACCGGAGCAAAATCCACGCAGATCCCGCCAGAACCTCAGGCTTCTTGATTTTTCCCCGTCCCAAAAGTACTGAGTATGGGGTGGGGGGCTGTGCGGCCTGCTCTGCAATAGGAAGATAACTAGGCCTGTGAAGGGCTTTTAGCAGTCATGGGTAGAGTCGGGGGAAATCTCTGGAAGTTCTAGCCTTGCACTCCATGAGACCAAAACCATCCTCAGTCCCACCTTCCCCGGCACCAGCTAAAACAGCCGTGCCAGGAGCGAGTGCCAAGTTGCACAAATTAAAACACAGGGTGCCCAGTTAATACTGAGTTCCCGTGAACGGTGGGTACTTCCTTGTTATTATATGGCCTGTGTCGTATGGGGTCATACTTTTTTTAAGTTCCTGAGCGCTGGGGAGATGTGGCTCAGTAGGTAAGACGCTTGCTCTGCATGAGAATCTGAGTTTAATCCCCACACCCAAGTGAAGAGCCTGGTGTGGCGAGAGTGGCCGCATCATTGAAAGTAGAGGTTCAAGCAGAACCCCGGACCCTGGCCAGCCAGCTTAACCTAAACAGAAAGCCTCCGGTTCAGCTAGAGACCCTGAGCCAAGGAAACAGGGTGAGGAAAGAGGAAGATGTGGAAGTCTCGCTCTGGCCCTTCCAAGAGCACTCAGCAAGCATACAGTACTCGTGTCCTGTTTATCCGTAGGTGTCTTGGTGTCTGGCCACTGTAATGAATCCCAGGGTTTGGCAAGGAAGGTGGCAAAGTGTGAACTCTGTTCAGGAACAGTCAGACCAAGACTGTGTGTGTGTGTGTGTGTGTGTGTGTGTGTGTGTGTGTATAAGGGGGGGGGGGACTCCCATGTTTTTAAATGACCTCTGTGGCTACTAGGGTGGGTTTGTCATCATTTATACCCAGACCATTCTTAAAAGTGCACAGTGTTCGTCTGAAGATACAAAATAAAGACATCAGTTTAAGAGAAAACGCCCAAGATTTAAGCATTGCCAGAGAAACAGCACAGTGGTGGGGCCTTGCCTCACCTGGGGAAGACCCCCCCCCCAGAAAAAGTTTAAGCAACAAACTGAAGAATGCCTTTGTATGAATATGCAAAGTGTTTCTTTTTATTACACATAGATTTAATACAGTTGATGAAAGCGTTAGAATTCAGTTGCAGACAGACAGGAGACTTAAGTGTAACAATGCATTGTGGTATAATTATGTTACATTCTAAGGGACTGGAAACTTGGCTGGGCCTCACAGCCTAAACTAATACTATACACTGAGATCACTTAACACTGCTAGCCTACTGTGTACTCAGCCTCTTTGTCTAACCCGCCTTTAAGAGAACAATGTAACAATCAACTAGTGGCCTCCGTGTGTTAAAGCCTGGCAAGTGTGTGGTCTGAAGGACCAAGGAGAACTGCCTGATGTGTTAGCTCTTCCATCAGTTACCTGAGAAAGACTATTTAAAGTAGCATTGAGACTCTGGATTTCAGTCCACAGTCACTCAGGGACTTGGTTCTGTGGAGCAAGACAGAATAGCAAGGTGGGCAGCAAATGGTAGAACAAACTGGAAAACCTCATGGTGGACAAGAGGTACTGGGGGGGGGCAGAGACTGGAACAAAATGATAGGGACACAAGGACATGTCCCTGCGACTGACTTCTGCATGCTGGGTCCCATGGGTTAAACTTTCAAGCAGCTGGAGATCAAACCTTGAACACCCGAGCCTGTGGGGCCAATTCCTACAGGAAGCAGAAATGAGTGAGCAGTAGACCATAAGCAACTGTGCTAGAACAGTCAGAATCCTCCAGGCACTTCACCCTTTAACAGGCTGTTGGTTCTGTTCACAGGGATAAATATAATGGGGCTAGTATCATGGAGAAAACACTTTCCAGATTTACTGAAGTGTAATCGACAAAACAGTATTCTCTAAGGGGTACAACTTGAAGCCTTGATACATAGACACATTATTAAATGATCACCATAGTCAAGATGATTAACATCTATCATCTTGCAGTAACTGTTGTGTGTGCTTGTGCGTGTACGTGTGATACTTAAGATCCACCCCAGGAGATTTCAAGTCTATACTATTTTTCATTGGTTTGTTTATTTCACTTTTTTTTGAGACCCCAGACTGACTTCAAACCTTGAACTCTTGATCCTCCTGTCCCCACCTCCCGAGGGCTGAGGTTATAGGCAGGCACCACCACACCAGGATAAAAGTACATTATGAGCTACAGTCACCTTGTGAGACAGTTTATCTTAAACTGCCCAGCTGCTCTATTCTGTCTCTTGCTGTTGGCCCCAAGATCTGCACATCTTTAGAGACTGTTCTGACTGGGGTGACCAGGGAATGAAGAAACGGCAGACATACAGACACGTGTACAGAAAAGCTGGGGTTGAGCGGACCACGCGCTGTATCGGAAATGTGCCAGTGGACCCAGAACTCAATGTGGTTATTATCTACCACGAAGTGAGGTTTACTGTGTACAGCAGAATGAGGAGGCGGATTAGCTCATTCGGGTAGGAGGTCTCTGGAAGGAGCATTCTCGGGCTGTAGATATCCTGGAGGAGGTAGCTGTGGGTGAGAGTTTCTGCATTCATTTCGATAAGGTCTTGTCCTTCCTCAGCACTCAGCTGGGCCAGAGGAAGGCTTTGACTGCATCTACACCTGTCCCGAGAAAGGCTTTGCCACTCCCAACGGTCTGAGGCACTGGCAGTGGCCTCGCTCATGCCAGTGATCCACATCCACTCAGGACTCCCAACGGTCTGAGGCACTGGCAGTGGCCTCGCTCATGCCAGTGATCCACATCCACTCAGGATTTCCTCTCTTCCTTGCAGCTGTCTCCTGTGCTTCTCTCTTGTGTACTCCAGCTCTTCCCACTCTGTGAATGTCTCTTGTTTGCATCTGTATTATTTATGTCAGTACTGTTCAAACCACTGGCAAGACCATACATTAGTAGATTATAAGACACAGTTAATGGGCCACGCTCAGCTCAGTTTTAACAAGATGAAAGGGAAGAAAACACGCAACTGGACTTTTATTAAGAATGACGACGCCTCTGGTTACAATGAACCAGATAAGAGAGATAATGGGCGATTAGAATAAATGTGATTGGCTAGTAGAAGTTGTTCTACACTCTGAAGACAGACATTCCATCTGCTACAGGATGTACATACGGCTACCACCACTGTAAAACAGCTGACCGTTCATATTAACGCTACTCATAGCTCATTACAAGATGCTTGCTTGAAAAGACATTCTCCATTTAGTTAAGTAAACACGAATCTCCCTTTAATAGAGTTTCTCCTAATTGTTAGGAGGAAGAATGATGAAATCAAAGCTGGAGAAATGCATCTGGCAAGATGGCTCGGCCAGTAAAGGTGCCACAGAGTGAAAGGAGAAAACTGACTTCAGCAAGTTGTCCTCTGACCACATATGCATCCGCACCTGAGCAAATAAATAAATGTTTAAAAGTTAGAGAAATGCAGGCTGGGCAGTGGTGGTGCACACCTTTAATCTCATCACTCGAGAAGCAGAGGCAGGCAGATCCCTAAGAGTTTGAGGTCAGCCTGGTCTACAGAGGGAGTTCCGGGGTAGTTAAGGCTACACAGAGAAACCCTGTCTCAAAAAACCAAAAAAGTTAGAGGAATGCTCAAGTTCAACTCTCTGTTAACTAGAACTATAAACAAGGGGAAATCTGAAATATCATTGATTGACTTTAGGGCCTTACACACTCTCTTGGCAAGACTCTGCCTCTGAGATAAGTTCCCAGCCTTTCCTTGACTACTTTTTGTTTGTTTGTTTTGGTTTTATTTTTTTGTTTTGTTTTGAGATAGAGTCTCACTCTATAGACCATACTAGCCTAGGACTCTTAATATTCCTCCCTCCCCTGCTTTTGAATAGCTGGGATTATAGACTTGGACCATCAAACATGGCTTGAGTTTATCTTTACATTTTCATTTCCTCAGTTAGCTTTATTGTGTGTGAGCAAAGCTATATATCATCATCAAACAAAAAAATCATTTTTATATTGGATTATTTCTACAAACTTATATTTTCCAAAGCAAAAATAACAAATAAAAGGTGTCCATGGATGCTATCTAGAATGAAGGCTGAGACTTAGGGTTTAGTGTTCCATTTCACGTCCAACAACAGCAAGGCTGCCTCGCGCTGAGTCCCCTCCCCCCACTTCACTGTGTGCACGGGCCTCTGAGTGTCTGACCCTAGCAGTATGCTCCAGGAGCTCCTGAAGTTGCTTCCCCTTCTCAGCCCACTGGATGTGCTGTGTGCTCAGACTCAGGAGAGGGCTCCTCATGCTGTTCTAGTATTGGGCCATCCAAAGACGGTGACTTCAGCAGGGGTCCCAGGATCGGCTATGTCCACTGGCTTCTGGAATTGTGGTTCCATCTGGGCCAAAGACCGTGTCTACCAGCCAGGCCTCCAAGTAAAGCTTGGGGATGCAGGCAGGGCTGAGCAGCCACTGGGGGAGGAGGGACTGGTGACTGTTTATCCCAGCAGGGTAAACTGTACACACATGGGGAGGCTGGTGACTGTCTGTCCTGTCAAAGGGTACTGCACAGTACATGGGAGGCTGGTGGCAGTCTGTCCTGGCAGGATATGACACACTTTGTCCTGGGCTGCTCACAAGGCCCACAGACATCTTTAAATAAAAAATACAGAACCAAAATTCCTGGGCTTGACTTCTGAGTTGCTCTGTGAACTATTGATGAGATTTTGCTGCATTGGAGTCAGAAAAAGAAAAGATGACTTGCTCAGTTGTTAGAGAAATCACTCCTCTAAATGAGAAGAACTGGCACAGATGGCTTTAATGCTAAATCAGCTGATAGAGAAGAATTTACAGTTATGCAGGGCAATATGGTTCCTAGTCAAATCTGCCCGACAACAGAGTCCTCAGAGTCACGCTGTAAAAACCAGTCAGACCTTGAGGCAAAGGCACTGCAATTATTCAACCCTTCTAGTGTTTATACAATGACAAGATGTGTGCGTGTGGTGTGTGTGTGTGTGTGCGCGCGTGCGCAAAGGGCATATGTGAGAGTCTGGGGAGAAGGGTGTATCCGAGTTTATGTGTGAGAGAGTGTGTATGTGAGTGTGTGTGTGTGGGTGAGTGTGGAGGGTGAGTGCAGCTAAAGATAAAGGTGTGAGTGTGTGTGAGAGAGTGTGTATGTGAGTGTGTGTATGTGGGCGAGCATGGCTATGAGTGATTCTGAGTGAGTGTTAGTATGTGTGAGAATATGTACGTGGATGAGGGTGGTGTGTATTTGAATGAGTGTGTGTGAGAGACAGAGAGAGAGCGTGTGTGTCTACATGGATAAGTGTTAGAGGTGACATTTGCCCTGGCCGCTTTGGTCTTGCTTTGGTCTGATACTTCCTTGCTACCCACCATTTCAACCTTTGGGGATAAAAACGTTTTGTCTGTGCCTGTCCCATCACTGCATGTTCAAAGTGTGTAACTTGTTCTTTGGTTTTAAAGAATGTCTTAGTCATTGTTCTATTGCTGTGAAGAGATGCCATGACCAAAAAGCAAGCTGGAGAGGAAAGGGTTTATTTGACTTAGACTTCCATATTATATAGTCTATCATCAATGGAAGTCAGGACAGGAACTCAAACAGGACAGGAACCTGGAGGCAGGAACTGATGCAGAGGCCATGGAGGGGAGCTGCTTACTGCCTTGCTCCCCATAACTTGCTCAGCTTGCTTTCTCATAGAACTCAGGACAACTGCCCAGAGATGGCACCATCCACAATAGTCTGGGCCCTCCCCATCAAT